AGTTGTCTCCTGTGCCAATGAGTTCAAGGCTCTTCCTTACTTTTTCTTCTAACAGGTTTAGTGTGTCTGGTTTTATGTTGAGGTCTTTGATCGACTTGGGCTTAAGTTTTGTGCAGGGTGATAAATAGGGATCTATTTGCATTTTTCTACCTGTAGGCATCCAGTTAGACCAGCACCATTTGTTAAAGATGCTGTCTTTTTTTCGTTACATCTTTTTGGCTTCTTTGTAAAAAAATCAAGTATCCGTAGGCATGTGGGTTGCGCAATATACATTTAAATAGCCAACATGAGCTTAGGAATGCATGCATGCACTCATGTGCACATGCCTGTGCGCATATATGTGTGTGTATGCATGCAGCATTATTTAAAGTGGTGATAGACTAATAAAATTTTTTTTAAAATACTCTTAAGTCCTCCAGTTTTTCATAGACGTGTAAAAACTTAAAATGTGCGCTTTACGGGAAAATTTGACTAAGTTGAAAAAGGGAAATAGATTCACTCTGGTTTGGGCCTGGAATTGAAGAGAACCTAAGGAAATGCAAACTGCCATGGGAAAGCTCATGGTCTAGCCTCGGGGAAGAGCGGAAAAGCTTGCAGTGCTTACATATCTTCTTTCTAGAAGGAGGCCTTGTAGGTCTACAGCTCATTCTCAACTGCTTGCTTAACCACTCATAGGTGCGCTGGTGCCTGCACGTGTGCCTCAGTGTGTATGAGTGTGTGCCTCTGTATGTGGGGGGTGTCTGTGTGTGTTTGCAGTGTGAGTGTGTATTGTGTGGTATGTATGTGTGTGTTGATGGTGCGTTCTGTGTATGTGGTGTGTGGTGTGGTATGTATAGTATGGTATGGTATGGCATGGTATGTGGTATGCATGTGTGAATGTGTGTGGTATGTGGTGTGTGTGTGTGTGTGTGTGTGTGTGTGGTGGGTGTGGGTCCATCTGTAGATATAGACTCCAAATCAGTACTGTTATTGTGTGTGCCTGTGTTTCACTATTGAAGCTGTTTAATTTCTTAGATATTCTGTGTCAATACTCATTTGGGCACAGAGTTTGAAAATATTCTGTTATTATCTGGATTGTGCCTTCCCTAGGTTGTTTCCTTTACTGAACAGAATCACTGTAACTATAGGAAAGCCCATTAGCCTACTTTGTTTTTGTTTCTTGTGCTTTGAGGGTCTTGTGCAAAATTGACTGTAATTAAAAGAAGCCAGGCACAGAAAAAAAAAAGAAAAATGTGTGCTTTAAAATCTTTTAAATTACTTACTATTATAATTTTTTACAGTTATTTGTTTCCTTGTGTGGGTGCACGCACCTGTGCCCGTGCCTGTGTATTTGTGCCTGTGTGTGCAAGTGCACACACACCCATAGCTAGAAAACATTTGGAAGTCAGAGCAACTGTGGGAGTTGATCCCTCCTTCCATCATGATGGCCACAGAGTCCAACTAAGGTCTTCAGGCGTGGCAGCAAGTACCTTTACCCAGTAAGCCATCCCACCAGCCCCATGTTAATGCTATTATAGAAATGCCAAGAAGTAGCACCTATTCATTATTTGTGGCTGTATGTGAAATGATCATTCCACAAGCTTGCTTAAAATTATAAGGGATGACTTGCCTCAAGACTTTGTAAGCTTAGATCCTGTGGGTTATCAGGAAACTCAGATAGTTTCAGTGAAATGGTGGCTTGTCTTGTAGAGTGGAGAATGCAAAATGTGGTGGATGAATGAATATGACCTCCATAGGCTCGTCTACTTGATGGGGAAATATGAAATGTTGCCTTGTTGGAGTGGTGTGGTCTTGGCGGAGATGTGTCATTAGGAGTGGGGTTTGAGATGTCACGTCCACACCCCGCCTAGTGCCTGCTTCTCTCTCTTCATCAGGGGGTAGCTCTTTGCTATTTCTTCAGCACCATGAGTACCTGAGTTTCCCCTTGTTCCCCATCATGATAATGAATTGACCCCCTGAACATGTAAGCAAGTCCCCAATTAAATGCTTTCTTTTTAAAGAAATGGGTTGGTTATGGTATCTCTTCACACCAATAGAACAGTGACTAACATGTCTTAAGTTCCTTTTCACTTTTTCTGTTATATGGAACTTCGTGTTTCTGCCTCCTGGCCTAGGGCACCCTTAGTGTAGCCATCTGCCTGTTCCTCAGCAAGCAGAACAAAAGAAATTCCCTTTTAAAGGTTATTTTCCAAAAATTGTACATCCCACTTTTATCTTTTATCCTTTGACCAGACTTCACACAGTGTGGCAAAAAAAACTGAGAAGTATAAGTTTTTTACTCTGGGCCTTTCTTTTCATAAGGGAAATTGGTGTCCTGTTGTTATGGGTAAGCAGTAGTGTCAAGTTTGTGGGCCACCAGCCTTTTGGACTAATAGCAAGGGATTAGTTTAAAGCGGTGTGTTCTCTCATGTATTCTTTTGCATTGAAGTTTGATTGTTCTAGAACCCTCTATGCATGACTTCCTATATCCTGTTATCAATAGGAACTTGGGGTCAAGGCAGTCAAAAGAGAATCAGGACAGATAGGTTCCTATTCTGTCAGTCATTCCTATCAATGATGAAACCTCAGGCAAGTGACTTAATCATTCTTGTGATAAAGTATCTTCACATTAAAATGGCAAGAAAATAGTATCAAATTCAAGGGATTGTTAGCAGGATTAAATAATTGGCAGTTCGGTACCTATAAAAGCCCCTTGTGTATAATAAGCCCACAGATGTGGTCATTATTACTTTCAATTGGCAGGTTCCTTGTAAAAGTGGTTTTGATATCATAAATAAAACATAGCTGTGAAAGTTAACTTAAAATTTTATATTAACATTTTCACTGTAGTGGGAGATAATTAGATAATTTGAGTCTAAATTTGCTCATTTCATTGTGAAATATTTTTATTACATTGTGATGAGCTCTAATTATTTTAAAACAAACATACATACAAATAAATATTCATTCACAAATAGGGCTCTTTCTTTTGAACTTATTTTCTGTGCCCTTTAAAGTGCATTCAAGTGGCAAAATGTAAAAAAGATTGTTTTATAGTCAAAGGGAATAGTGAACCTCTTTCCTAACAGGGAAAGAGGCTGTACTTACTTAATATAACATACTAGCATATAGGCCTGCATTCCTGGATTCAGCTAAGTACGCCTTTGTGTTTTGTTTTGTGATGTACTATACATACACAGTTCTTACAGCAGTGAGTGAATGTTGTTCAAGTTTTGTGTTTCTGTCTCTTTGACTGCATTGTAGGTAAGATGTATCTTATGTTTCTACCTTCCAGTACTACATTCCAGTACTGTGATATAGGTTGCCACTTTTGAAGAAATTTTATTGTTTTAAGTCTCATGTCAGAAAAATGGCAATTTTTGTGGCTGTAAATAATTCTCTAAATTTAATTAGATGCAACAAAATGTTAAGAAAATCCTTATTTTTGAAATAAACTGTGACTCCTTTAAAGTTTTGTGATACTTTTGTTACTAAAATGCAGTTCAAAAAATTGTAATTTCTAGATCATATCTAGATCATTGTACCTTGTGCCTTGTTTGTGTATTTTTCTGATTCTTACTCCATACCACGGTTTCAGAACAGTAGACATAACTGTATGTTTCTAGAGTATAGAAGCTTGATTAACAGTTCATTTACTTACTTGATGTCTTCTTTCATGAAACTTGGAAGTAACTAAGACGTAATAGATTGTCCTTTTAAGGGACAATTGCTTAGTTCTCGTAACTATATTGAATACAAAATCAAAATGTGCCAGAGATCATATTGTGCAAGCTTCTATGGGAATCTCAATACCATGTGTATATATACATTTATGCATGTGTATATATACATTTATGGTCAAAATTGCATTATCTGCCAATTATCCTTACATTAGTAGATAATCAATTTGCTTCATAAATATAACAAAAGCCAACAGTCTCTGGCTTGTAGAGGATATTGGCTATATTAATCTGTGTCAGAGTATTTAGGATAGTAAGGGTGGATACAGTACTCTGAATAATTTCAAAATCAAAAGTTTTTGCTCACTCTTCTGATGGCAGTGAATTTCATGTAGGATTACTGCCCTTTTAAAGGGGAGCTATGCTGAGGTGATTTTAATGCAGTTCTGCTACTTACTTTTAATGTGGCCTAAAAATAAAGTATCAGAGTCAGATATCAGAAAAACATCCTGTATTTTAATGAGCTGTGGCAATGATCATCCTTGATGTTACCATTAGCCAAACAAATATTATGTTGTGCAAATGCTAGCTGAGCTATAGCATGTCTTCAGTATACCATCTTTGTAGCACACATAATACTGTTCTCAAATTTCATAAAAACAGTCTTCATGAAGAGTGACTTAGAGCAGACATTATTTTGTTACTCTTCTCACAAGCCTTAGTATTTTCATTTTTTCTTCATAAATATTTTTTAAGCTCTAAATGATATACACTTATAATAATAATTGTGGTACTAGCCTCTAATGTCTTCTTTGCAATTCTTTATTTAAATATGCAGTATAAGACCACATTGAGTTGAAAAGAATAAAAGGTTTGGTCTCATTTTTCTTTTTAAATTTTTAGTTATTCTTGATTTCAAAATATAAATCCACTTCATTGAAGTTTTATTTTTTGGGAAAAAAAAAAAAAAACTCTAGAGAAAAATTAAGACTGGAATTATTTAAATGGGTTTATTTAAAAAAAAAAAAAACAAAACAGTTTGTTTTCAGACTAAGGTACCTGTGCTGCTTTTAAAATTCAGGTAGACATCAACACTTGTATTTTCATTTGCTCTCAGATCACTTTGCGATCTTATGTTTTGGGAAGTAAGATGAGCTTTATCATTTTGTTTTAAGGTTTTAAAGTTAATATACTTTGAGTTGAAGATTAACTTTCTGGTTTTAAAAAATATACAGTGCTTAATAATTTTCTTCTTCACTGTACCTACCTCCACTCTTTTTTTTTTTTTTTTTCCAGATAGCTTTATAATCTTCACATTCTTCTTTTCTTATCTTTTTCAAGGTCGTTTGAGCTATCCGCATCCAGGAACTGACAATCTGTTGATGTTAAATGGTAAGTTTTTACCAAACATTCCATGTTTCCATTTGGTTCATACAAATGAAGATGTTTAAATATGTATTACCGAAAAGACAGTTCAGTCATCTTATAAAAATAAACCTGTGTTCAGCCATGACAGTACTCAATTATAGTCCCAGCTCTTCAGGATGTTGAAATGAGCATCATGTCACCGCTTAGATAAGGAGCATTCAGGGCAGCATAATGAAGTCTCAACTTTTACAAAATTGAAGTAAAGCTATGGGAATTAGGAATTCCTGTGTTTTGTCCCTGAAAATGTAGTCACTGTGACAATATAATTCGGCCATCCCAACCTCAGGAGCAAGCCTTGTTTGAATATTGGGGTTCTGTTTCAAGCTTTGACGGAGGAGAAGTAGCTATGTTCTTAGTTTCCTATTTCATAGTCTCTAAACTGAGGAAGTCTCCCAGCTTATAAGAATTAGAGATAATGTTCGCAAAGTGCATTGATTCTAGTCCTAAGTAGAAGCCCTTGTGTTTGTTTTAAGTAATATAATGGTGAATTTATACGTGTAGTAATCACACTGACTTTTTACTTACTAAAAAGTTAGAAGTTCACCAGTCGGAAAAAAAAAAATCTTAGCTTAAAGTTCTCTTTTCTTTACATTGGACAAATTAATATATTTATAGTCACAGGATGTAGCATAAACATAATCATGGGAGTGGGATTGAGGGGGGAAAGTGCCTTTCAGGAGTAATTTTGAATTAGAGGCAGGCAAAGAAAGAAGATGGAGAAATATAAATAATATATGCTTAAAATCACATTATTATGTTGGATTGGCTCTTTTTCATTTAAAGCTTTGTTGAAATAAGATGTAATGAAGTTGTGGAAGCCCATCTGAAAGTGAGGTCACTGTGAATTTAAGCCATGTGGATGATGATGATGATGATAGCAACAGAAGGGTAGAAAGGACACCTGTCGGCCTGCCAGGGGTCTTTTTTTTCTCAGTCAGTAACATGGTGCTATTGCAACTGAATTTAAGATAACAAAAAAGCTTATTGTTAATGTTCTGTCCATTTGATTTGTGAAATATGATAGGCTTTGGTAACATTAAACTACATATAGATTTCACTTCCCTTAAATATTCTATGTGGAAAATAAAGATTATTCACTTATTTTAACTTCTGAAATAGTCACAGAAATTTTCCATTTTCATGTGTCAGAATACATTTGAAAAGTCGCATCATTCACAGCTGAACGTATGTTGTTGGTTAGACAGTGACCCAGATGGTTACAGCAGAGTGCCAGTCATGTAGGCAAGGAGTTTGGAAAGGCCCAGTGGTTCTTCAGCTGATGTTTTGGTTTTGCATTTTGTTGTTGTTGTTACACTAAACTGTTAGTCAGTTGCTTTTGTAAATTACTTAAAGACCTGTAAGTTTTATCAGAATTATGCTTCTTCATAAAGAAGACATGAGAATGTTTTATTTCAGGCAAGTTACATCTAGTAGATAATATGCTTATTTTATTTTATTATTTTCTAAATATGAGCACTCTTAATAGTCTGCCATTTGGGGCCATAATGCTTACTAAGTGAAGAAAGACAGCCTGGAAATTTTGAGCTTTTAGCAAGGGACTAGGGAAGGAAAAGAAGGTAATCACTGAAGGACATCAAAATGTATTCAGGTCAGGAAAAGAGACAGTTTGCTCCCTGCGGACGAACAGTTAAGAGGTGAAACGAGTCACCTGACTGGGTACACCCATGGGGTGAGGAAGTCTTAAAGAGTAAGACATGAAGGTCACTGGTTAAAGGCAAATAACAGCACTCGGAGGTAAGGGGAAATTTTTCTTTAACAAATGCAATTTAGCCATATTCTTAGCATGTTATGTTCCCAGGAAATCAGGGGATTAAGTGATGTTAGTACAAGGCTTTTCCTACATTAAATAGTTATTAAAAATTTCTGACATGAAGAAAGTGTATCGTCTTATTCACAGATTTAATTTACTGTAGAGAAGTTGGTTAAGTTGCTTAACCATTATGTATTATTACTGTAAGCGTAGCTAATGCTGTTCACTTTTAAGATAAGTGTTTAGTAATACATTTGGCATCACCATGTTTTGTGGAGATGTGTGGGTGGCATCACAGACTCTAAAGCCCGCTTGCCTTTCTTGCCAACCTGAAACAGCATACCTACCTTGACCTTGACTGCATTTTTTAATATCTAAGCCAGGGCACACTGCTTGCCTCAGGGCACTGCTGGGAGGACTGAGTGAATTCACGTACATATTTAGGACAGCTCCTATGAATAAATATTAGCTGAGGAGAGTTAGTGGTGGAAATCAGTGCAAAAGATCATACAGAAGTAGAGGGCAGGTCCTGGGAACAGACAGGAAGTAGGAGGTTACTTTAGATGGTATATAATGAAGAGACAACATAACTGGTTTTCAGCTATTGAAAGGATGTTTTGTGTGATAAGCAGAAAACTTGTTTTTGTTATTACAGGAAAACCAATAGGAAGAAGCTACATTAGAAGTTGTATGTAAGGAAAAAGATTAGGTTTCTTTAGTTTCCTGTAGTGTGGGATCCTTTTTATATGGAATAAATTTCAGTGATACATTATTAAACAAATGCGTGATTATTGCAATTAAGTAGCATTCTTGATAAAGTGTACATATAGCTGATAGAAATCTGTGATTACTGTGTATCAGACCTGAATGTCTGTAATTAAACATAATATAATATAATATAATATAAATAAGAGTAATACAATGCAAATCAGATATACTAACATTAGAAAGGCCTTATAACTCTTGAGTTGGTTGTGAGTTGTAGTTAAACCTTGAGATAAATCTGGGGGAATAAGAAGCCAGTCATAACAGTGATGGCATGGTGTAGCACTAGGAAGAGCCTCTGCCAAACGCACACTGAGAGCAACTCAGATGTTCATCAGCATGTGATGCAGCGTCAGCCACAGAACTCACGCTGCTGTGTGGATTAAAACTGTAGACCTAAGATGCCACATAAGGTGGAGCCTGGAGCCATTAATTGTGGCACTCAGGAGACAGAGGCTAGTGGAGCTATCAGTTGGAGACTAGCCTGGTCTACATAGCATCTATTATCTAATCTAGCCAGGGCTACATTGGGAGACCTTTCTTCAAAACAACAACAACAACAGCAAAAATCCATATAAATGTAATTACAGAGAGGCTCCTGTTTCTGAATAGACCCTGTTTCTCAGATAAGATTGAAATCAAGTTGATTTGATGGCTAGACTGCTATTACTGTAAGTCACTGTAGTGTTCATTGTCTTTTTAAGAAAGTCACATTACATGTAGATACAGACTGTTTAAAAACCCAGTTTTAAATATTTAGAATGACAGTTTGAATTTATATTTCTGAGGGTATAAACCTAGCAAATACAATATCTGGAAAAAATAGAGCCAGTGCTAAAAATCTGTATGTTTTCTGCAGTAGTAAGGAAAAATATTAAGTTATATATGTCAAGTATTTGTCTCTACTTGGATTAAAGTGCATTTTTCCCAATTTTCCCCAACCCCCAAAATTATATATTTTTATTAGGACCTTTACACAAAAGGGAACAAGACATAGCAAAGAATGAGATGAAGAAAGTGGTGTTAGCAAGCCAGTTTGAAGTTTAAATTTGCATTTATAATCCATATACGCAGCCACTTATGTGATCAAGAGCATGCTTATTTTTGGAGTGAAGTGAATTCTAGGTGTCTTTTAATTAAGGAAATTTACCCAAGGCTAGCATGGTGGTGCATTCCTTTCATCCTAGCACACTTGGGAGGTAGAAGCAGGAAGATCAGCAGTATATGATAGTCCTCAGCAGCATAGTGAGTTTGAGGTCAGTTTGGGCTAGATGAGACCCTATCCCAGGAAAGAAAGACTGTGATCATACTATCCTTTTAAAGCCAGATGTTCTACATGTACTGTATGTGAAGTTAGACCTGGGTAGCCTTTACATGGAGGCTGCTCACGTCACGGAGCATGAATGCACTACCTGACCAAGTGGAATCTGAAAAGGCCTGTCATTTGGACCATGGGTATTTTCTTTTTAGTTTTGCCTTGTTTACTCTGGAGAAGTATTATTTGTTTTAGCTTCCCACGAAGAGAATTTTAACCTCAATTTCTAGATGAATTTGTATTTTTCTTCCTATGTTATCTTTCAACTGAAGTAATTTGGCTATACTGAGCTGAAAACCTGTAGTTTAGAACACAAAGTCCCTAAACAGTAATAAGAATTGTTGTGTTTCCTTATTGTCACTGTGGTCAGAACCTGAATAAAATCATTGGTAATCTACCTCAGATGTAGTCATTTGTATGAAAGTCTTTAAACTACCCCAAGAGCCTCCTTTATAAACAAAAAGCATCAGCGATCTATGTATAGTTGTATATGTGGATATTAAATGCCCCTATATATCAAAATGGGCAGTTCTTCACTTTTTAATCTAAGTTACTTTCTTATAAATGCATCATAAAGCATATTTTTAAAAATAAATCATTACCATTTCCCACTTTAAGTCATGTTTTTATCTGGAGGTTCAGAATGTTTAAAGAAGTCATTTTTGTTAAGCCAATGCCAAACATTAGTGAATACCCTTAGAATTAATTTTCCTTTCTCCTCTCCACCCTGCCTCGGGCTGTTTCTTTTTTTGAATTATGATTAATTTATAAATTCTACATCCTGATCATACACTCCCTCGTCTCCTCCCAGCCCCACCCTCCCTCCCTCTTCCTCCCTCTTCCTCCCATCCCAGGCAGCCTTCCTCCCTGACCAACTGACCGCAGACTATCAAGTCTCTTCAAGAACTGCCTGTATCTTCTTCCTCTGTGGCACATAATATTCATGTAATGACTGCTTTTTTTTTTTTTTTTTTTTTGGTAGAGGTTCTTGACTATTCTGCTGCAGAGTTACACTGAAACAAACCCCAGAGAAACATAGAAACCATAGTAGACACGTGTTAGACACATCATTTTCAGTACAATGGGAGCAAGATGGTGATTTCCATGATAGGAAATGTTTTACATGGGATAGCTTCATTTGTAGACAATTGTATTTCCTGTGTATGCACGTGTCCAGGGCTGGGACTGTGTGTGTACCATGTGGCCCCTGTAGAAGTCAGGGGGCAGCTGTTAGGAGTATGTTTCTCTTCCAGGTTGGGATCCTGGGCCTGGGCCAGGTCTTCTGGCTTGCAAGGCAAGTAATTTTAACCACTTAATATCATACTGGCCACATGTCTGGTTTTGGTAACTTAGAGACTTCAAATCTGAGAGTTGTCCGAAAAATATTTAGAGGCTTCTGAAATTCCCCTGCTATGAGATAATAGATAAAAAATTTTTAAATAAGTGTGCTTAAGCCTAGGAATGGCATGAAACTTACAATTCTGTAAGTATTTATATGTGTTTTCACTATTTTAGTATTGACTAGTCCCACTAAAAGTATAACAGGTAACAATATCAGCAGTACTGGTGCTTGTCTTACTAGGTCAGGAAATAGTGGCCACATTCTAACTTCACTACAATTTATGGTTTGATTTCATATTTGTTGAAAATAATTTCATTTGTTTATGAATATTTGATCTTTTTAACCATGGTTGAAGTTATCCTAAGTAACTTAACTTGATTAATATTATTGGGTCACCCCTCGAAAAAGCAAGAGACCTAACTCCTGTGACTTTGCTGTGCAATGTTTTGGGGCCTGTTGACCACTTGAAGATTTAGTATAACTGTTAAGACTCAAGGGAGTTTCATTCTTTTTCATGTACTAGCTTTGTTAAAATTACTTTTATCAATCTGATTTTCTACAAGTAGTTTTCCCTAGTGGGTGCAGCTATTTTAAAAGCCCTGCTCCCCCCCCCCCCCCCCCCCCCCCCCACTCCCGTTTGTTTTCATTTTTTGCTTTTTCAAGACAGGGTCTCTCTGTGTAGCCTTGGCTGTCCTGGACTTGTTTTGTATACCAGGCTGGCCTTGAGCTCCCAGAGATCTGTCTGCTTCTGCCTCCCCAAGTGTGTGTGCTATCATGCCTGGCTTTTAAAAGCCTTTTTAAGTCTTAGAAGAATTAAAAAATAAAATTCTAAAAGTTTTGTCTTCTTCTACCTTCACCCTAAACTAACACATACGGCTGGTAAGGTGTAAAGCAAATCTGTAGACTTTGAGTCTGTTGGTGCTCAGAAAACAGATTGACTGTCACCGTAATGACAGCTAACTCTGGTAGCCAGCTTAGAAGACGGATAGAAGCCTTATGCTTACTGACTTACTGCTTGGAAGTGGAAATGACTAAGAGTTGACATGTTTGCCTTCCCTGCTCGTTATTATAGGAGAATCAATGCCAAATTGGCATACAGTAGCATTTCTGAATAGCAAAGCCTTACTATAAAGTTCAAGGTATATTTTTTTAAGCCTTACATAACATAGACTATACTTAGCCTGTGAAATACATCTTTTGACTTTTAAGTTTTATACTTTAGAAAGGGACATTTCTGGCAGTTTCTAATACAATTTTCGAATTGATTTTTATTCAGCATTGGATTTTTCTTGCTTCTTCAATTTGTAAACATGAATTAAGACCTTAGTCTTATAGCATTCATTTTGTTTGGTTTATTGCCTGTTTCATATAAATATTCAGACTAAAGCACTCCTCGTATGCACTGATTCAGGAGAAAGATTTTCTCAATACTGGTAACTTTCTGTCAAGAAATCACATTCATACATTATCCGTGGGAATAGTGTAAGCTACCAGTTCCTTTCTACTTTACATTACCAGCATTTATCATTCTGTGAGGGGAGTCATTTTAATTTGTACTACTGTTCCTTTTACCTAGAGGCAGACACATAATCGGTAGCTCTTACAAAATATGTCAAAAGACTAGAAGGCATCATTTCTGTCATTTTTGCTATATGTAGTCTCTTACTGTTTCCCTAGGCAGCTTTGAACTCAGCAGTGATTACAGGATTTAGTTCCACAGCTCAGTAACCATCTACATCTTCCGGTACCACCTTGTCAGGGTTTGGTACAATGTAGGTTGATCCTGCATAGCTGGTGAATAATATATACCATAGTACTTTTTAAATTTTTTTTATTTTTATTATTATTGTTATTATTATTCATTACAATTATTCACTTTTTATCCCAGTTGTAGCCCCCTCCCTCATCTCTTCCTGGTCCTACCCTCTGTCCTCCATACCCCTATGTCCCTACACCCCGAAGTCTGTGTTTCTCCATACTACTTTTTTATCATCAAAAGATGAACAATGGAAATTTAACTCAAGTTAGTTTCATTCATTGAGAAAACTATTTGAGGAACTGCTTAACTGTAAATTGCTACATATTTCTGTCATGATGATAGGTGAAACAAGTACTTGTGAGTTTTAAATAAATTGGTGCTTCCTCCTAATTTTACAGCTTTAGACGTCTCAGATGGCATATGTATGAAATACTTATAAAATAATATGCTTGACACATTCCACATGGAAAGCTCTATATATGTGTATGTATAAGTGCTATAAATGGTAAAATATGCAAATTTTAAGTGCTGACATTATCATAGGTCTTAAAGTAACTGTTTCTAAATACCGCATAGCTTTTCATAATACCACATAGCTTTTCATATCACGGATATTTGTATGTGTGGGCTCATTTTTAGTTCTAACGTTTTACAATTTGTCCTTTGTTTACATGCAGCAAGGAGTTATGGGCGAAGACGAGGTAATTCATTTCTGTTTGCTGTAGTTCATCTGTTTCTAATTGGGCTGTATTGATGAATGTTATAATTACTGATTTCAGAATTTTTTATGCAATGTCTGAAAGCTCATAGAAGAATCACACATTGATATGAGCACTTACCAACTTTCTAACTCTTAACCTACAAGGTGTATTTTCATACTAATGTCTATTAAATAAAATCTGTCCTCCTTAAACTGTCCAAAATTTTAACTCGTATTAAAAATTATACCTGTATCTTCTAAAATGAGGCTGTTTTATTATCTCTTTAAGAAATAAGTTTTTAGTATTAACCAGAGTGACATGTGATGTGATTTTCTACTCTATAACCAATTGTCTTATCAGTGACTGTGGTTTTTGTTTGGCTCAGTTGGGAATGATACCTGTGTAAGTAGATTACTGTCATTGTTGACAGAAACCATGTAGTTAATGTCTCTGTGAGGCCAAGATCCTGTCAACCCCTTTCTGTAGCCCTGTATACTCCAGTCCCTTCCCACCTCCGCCCTGATAACAGGATTTCCTTGAGCATTCTTAATGGGACCATGGGACAAGGCTTTGTGATATGAAGCCACTAGTGAACTCCCTGGAAAAGCAGAAACACCTTCCATGGCCAAAACCTCAACTCATCCTTTTTCATGTGCAGAAGTTGAAAGGAAGAGAAGGCAGCATGAAAAGAAGAAAAATTACATGAGTAGAGCAGTGAGCTATACCTGATATTTATACCGATTTTGTACACTGAATAAAAAGTGTTTGCTCTCACATCTAGAATTTTCCCTGAAGCCAAGGAAAATAGATAGTAATAACCATGCCCTTGATTATATTTTACATGTATGTAGTAGTGTCCTCATCTGTTGATGAACGCATTCTCCAGAAAACACAAGAAAAACCAGTTACCGCCACTGACAACTAATGCTAGTATTTCGTGTTCTTAGCGGTAGTTCCAATTGGATATTTCAGTTTAATTTCATTGCTGGAGTTTTGACTCTCTAAATACTTGACTGAATCTTTGGGTTCTTCAGGTTTCTAAAAAACTAGAGGAGTGAGGCCAAGTACCTTTCCATTTCTTTCTTTCTTTCTGTCTGTCTTTTTCATTTTTCTTTCTTCTTTCTTTTCTTTCTCTTCTTTCTTTCTTTCTTTCTTTCTTTCTTTCTTTCTTTCTTTCTTTC